ACCAACAAGACACCAGAGGATGTGATTTGTTTCAGAAAGATCCCCAAAACCAACACTGAACAAATAGTGGTCTGGAAAAAAACTCCATTAGCTAGCATACTCCACATAAGCCAAACTTCTCTCTAATTTAAATTTCAATATAGTCATATGACATGCGATGGAAACTACTGTCTTTTATCTTGGAGTTCCCAGCCTCTAGAACTGTGAGAAATAAATTTCTATCAATGGTATTTTGTTACCACTTAGTCTATGGTACTTTGTTAGAGCAGCCCAAATCCACGAAGAGTATATACTTATTTTCTTTGTATTACATGTGTACTGAAGTGACTTTGAGGTAAAAAAATTAATAAACCTAAAAGTCCTTTGCCACTACTCTCTTTATTCAATTGAACTTGTATTTTTGGTCATTACTTGTTAGTTTTTTTAAAAAATATGGTTAATAATGTAAGCTAATAAAAAGTGTTTTGCTGATGGTTTGTTTTCCTTTTAGTTTAATAAAAGCCTCTTTAGAGTAGTTTATATGTTAACTAGCAGCTGATTAGCAAAACTAAAACATGAACTGTTTGATTCACTTTTAGTATACTGGCTATTCAATAATGCCACAGCTAATTAGATGTGATTTTTTTCAACTAATTAATATGAGATAAAGAAGTAGGATGTAAATCCCCAGCATACTAAGAGACAACTGATTTCAGGAGTAAAAACGTCCTTGTATTTACCACTCCTTATATTTCCTCTTCATCAGGACAAGAATAAAAATGTAGGTAAAGAACTGAGGTACCGATAATTTTGGTGTGTTCAATAGTTTGAAAGAATGCAAGTGTAGCAGAAGACTAGAGAATGTATTGAGTTATGCAATTAAAAAGCTGGTATAGGTATCTGTAGATGTTGCCTGACAAGACCTTAGAAGCCACCAAGAGACAATATCAATGAAGACTGGGACAAGACCAATGAACACATGGTTTGTGTTGGATCTAACTGGAAAAATAAATTTTCATAGAAATTGGGCACAGGAATAGAAAACAGAAAAATTCAGACATGGGGGTTTGATAATGGAGCACCAACTAGATGTTTTTAAGTTTCTCAGTAAAATAGGTGATATGCTCATCCACAGAGAATGGGGTTCAATATTTTGGATAGAGCTTTAAAAAGTGTGCTCAAATTTGTTAACACCTGCTTACGAATGTCTTTGATAATTGGTGAGACAGTGTGTAGAATTCTTTTTATGCTATGCTTTTATGTTTAAAATTGTGTGCCATAGAAGTATCTTAAAGTTGTTAGATTTATAATATAAATAAGTAAGATTGCAACACTACAACATATTTACATCCTTTTCTTAAATAGTATATCCCTGTTACTTTGGAAACAGTGCAGTATTTACAACTTACTGTTGCTACACATTGCATAATAATGAACATAGCACTTAAATACCATCCAATACATTTGTGACATAGTTCCAAAGAGATACAAATGGTTCTAACAATGTCTTTGATTTAAGAAATGCCTGGAAACATAGTTATCTAAAAATTATGGCCATTTTGTGTGGCTCCCCACAGAGCATCATCTGTATCTCTATTAGCAAGCTGCATCCAACTACCTCAGTGGTTATTAAGTATATGTGATCAAATACATACACACATCTGGATGTCTTATTTGATTTTTTTACTTTGCAAGGAGGGACTGTTTTTAAGTGAATTTGCTTATTTATGAAAGCATATGAAACATTGCAATAAGTTTTGTACTAAAAGTACAGACCATGCTTTCATTTTTCCTTATTAATCTGAAAGGGTCTGGTAGCTAACCCTTTCTTTTATTTTCAGTTTTTTCTCAGTACATGTTTGCATGACATAATAATTACATTGCTTTTGTGGAGTTGTTACATGTACTGACCACCTCTTAATTCTTTTTTTAAATCTCTTTTGCATGCCCTCCCTGGATCTCTTGATCTCCTTCTCAGCAGAACAAAATCTATCTGCCTACTTCCCATTATCTATATTTTATTTTGCTCTTTATTTATATGTGTGTTTCTTATATAAGACAAACCACAGAGTTTTTAAGCTTATGTGTCAAATTAGCCTGTTAATGGAGCAGAAGGCAATACCCATACTTACCATGTAAATGAGTTTCCAACACTTAGGATAGGATAGGCATTGAAAGTCTGGGTTAAATGATATAGTAAAGGAACTAATCAGTCACTAAATCTTTTCCTCTTTGTAGACTGACACTTTCCTCTTCCTAACTGCCCATTAATTCCTTACTGTCCTTGCTCTGTTTCCCAGAAAGTATTTGACATATTGAAAATACTTTATTAAGATCAAATCAATGCCATTGCTAGGCAGAAATGCCTTTTTAGAGAATGTCATAAGACTGAGAATCTAGTAATACACTCCACAAAGTAACAGAGATTGCCATCAGAATTTGAAAAAGAAGTTTCTGAAAGCAGATGGTTCTTTCTTATATGCAGGGTATTTTCACATTACACATTGATCTGGCCCTGTTGAAGTAACAAGGAGAGGAAAACCATTTCTTTTTTTCTCTCTTCCCCCTCTTTACTCCTTCTTTCTTTGCATTTGCTCCTTTTCTTCCTTTTTTCCTGCCCTCTCTTCCTTTTTCTTTCCTTTCTTCTTTTATCTTTGATTGTCCCTTTAAAACTAAAATGAGTCAGTGACCCACCATCTAATAGATTTGACCAACTTGATGTGTGGGAAAAAAAGGCAATGTGGATTATATTACGCATTTTTTAATAATAGAATTACTTGAAAGAATTTATCAATACTCAATCAAATTTGTATTCCTTAAAACACTTAACACTTAGAATTGTCCACTGCATAGTAAGTATGCAAAACTATTTTTTCAGAGAATGTGAAGATTTTTGATCATTCTACAATTTCAATAAGAAATGGAGTTTATTTCATTTGGGTGATTTTTATTGATAGGTAATTTTGCATATTTATTTTTAAATTCTTCAAACTATTGTTCAGTGTGAACTTTGTGTCAGCCCCTGTGTTCAGTGTTGAGGATGCAAAAAATGTTTCCACTGTTTAGTTGGATACCCGGTGAGTGAGTATACAAAGAATAAGTATACATGTGGCTGATGCATCAGGTAGGCACTGGACACATTGGGTCCCAAAAAAGGGAAATGTCTCTAGACCAAAAAAGACTATCTGTCTAAGTTATTAAGAATGTCAGCCAAATGAGATCTCATACATGCATACACAGTTTGGACTGCCCTTATACAGTACCATAGTCTGCATGGCTTAGACAACATGATTTTATTTTAGACCTCTTGAGGCTGAGAAATTTAAAAATATTGAGGCACTGGCCAATTTGAGTCTTGGTGTGAGTCCTCTTTATGGTTTAAAATTGGATTAAAACTGGATGTCCTTTTTT